GTGTGTGTGTGTGTATACACTGGTTGGATTTTGTACTCTACTGTACATGGCACATACACACACTGTATGTGCCATGTACAGTAGTATGTGTTTAACAGTATCACAAATTAAAAGCAGCCCAACTTTAAAACGAATTAAGTTTAATGAGAAGATAGCGACAACTGTGTGAGATTTGTTGTTTTGGGACTCTCACACATGGAAGCAATGCACAAGGATTGAGGATCCATCCGTCATTCCTCGCACACATACACATAAATCATCCTGTCTCCATATCTGCAGCATACATAAAGCAATATACATACAACATTAAGTTGATCTACAACCCCTTCACACTGCTGCGCTCACTCCATCCAATTGGCTCTGCAAGTCACATCCTTCCATCAATCCGCCAATCTGAAATAGACAATTTCACCGCTCACAACCGTGAATAAACTATTGTTGGCATTTTACCTTACTGCAGCCTTCTACTTCTACAGCCCCCCACAGACAAGTCAACATTACTGTACTGTATGTGTGTCATTTCTCCTTTAAAATAACTCGGCTGTCAATTAACTGACAACCACCTGATAAATATTTTAAAGCGTTACTCTCAGAGAGCTCAAGCTCTTGTACTACGGAGGGAACCATCTCTGGGTTGTGTATGGAGGACCAAAACTGTATATCACTGTAGTTTATGATGGGGTTTTTTATGTTGTACTGATAGTGTCAATATTTATTTGTTTATTAGGATCCTAACTAGTGCCAGCTCTTCCTGGGGTCCACAAAACCATCAATATGATTACTGCTGTATGTCATGAAAATATAAAGGTTTTCTTTGTTACTGGTTGCTTGTATTGATAAATGTTAACTCACTGGGGAGTTTTACTTATTGAATGTCACTGTCACAACTCTCAAAAAACAGATTCAATAGGTTACATCTTATTATATGTAGCTCAGTTTTTCAGTATTTTACATATTGATCATATTGTAGCATTAATGCCCAGGCATTTAGTCTTCAGCCATATTTTTTTCCCCACATGGCCTCCAGTATCCATCCTGTACCTGATAACCCCTTTGAGTAAATTTCAGCTGTGGATTCACAAAATATGGTATTACTTTCCCCCAAGAGAGCTCGCTCCAGGATGTCTATCAGGCCAGATTCCTTCTCCCAGTTCTGTTTGACACAGACACAAGTGTAGTTTTTGGAGGTTTTTATTCTATTGTATATTCATGATATTAGATACTTGTTATCTTTAATCCTCTTTAGGGATTATTGATATTATTGCCTCGTTCCATTTTTGGTGTGTTTGTCCTTCTTTAAGCGTGTGGTTAAAGCACCTGAGAGCACTTGCATTCATTCAGGCTTGAAGGTTTTGTACCATTCGGCTATATAACCATCAGACCCTGGTGTTTTGTTCGCATTTGGTCGGGAGATGGCATTATCCAGTTCACTGAGGGTTATCGCTGCAGTCAGTGTCAGATGGTCTCCTATTGTGGAAAGATCCAAAGATTTCAAGAATTGTGAAAAGAGTTTTGTCAGGTTGAGTTAAAGGTCCTTTTGTTAGGCCTCGAAGAATTGTTGAATATCTTCTAGTTTGTAACATATTTTATTAATTATTTGATTTCTTAGTTTCTCTCTGTTGTTTTCCTGATCAACATGATAATTGTGATGTTTTTATAATATTTTTGTCTAGTAAATCTCTGTTTTTCTTCATCACAGATTCTATTTATTTATTTTTGGACATGCTTTAGTTGGGCCAAACATTTTTTATTATATTTTTTTAATAGAGTTCTGAATTTTTAGGTTTTTCAGTTTTGACTGTAGTTCTAATAAATATTTATGCTTTTCCTTTTTTCTATGGGTAGTGAATGCAATAGTGTCACCTCCTGTTGATGTCACAGTACATTTGCCAATAATGTTCCATTATCCTTATTTTCCAAGGACTGTTTCAATTCCTTTTGATATAATATTTGCACTATCTATATTCAGTATACTGGTGTTAAGTCTCCACAATGTTTCCCTCTTATTATTATCCAGGAGTAATGTAAGATATGCTTCTGAGTGGCCCATAACATTTCTAACACCTATTTTGCAATGGACATGATAAGTAATTTGCAAGTAATAAGCAAGTTGTTTTTGAGTGAAGGTCCCTCCATCTATCACGCCAGATTCCCTCAACAGTTTCCTCATGAACTTTGTCTTTTCTGCTTAAGCAACTTAGTACAGTCAAGTTTTTATTTTATTTTTTATTTGATTGTACCAGTCCCACAGATAAATATTCCTGATGATGACTCTATCTTTATTATTCTTTTTAATGATCTGTCATGACCTGATGAAAACATTAAATAAAGTTACTTCTGTGTGATCTATCATCCCTTCAACTAAAATATAGCGAGCTTCCTTATCGTAATTGGAGTGGTTAGAAAAATGTACCTGTTAGACAGTAATATGGCCACTCCTCTCTTTTGCAATGATTTATGAGAGGAATAAAATGTATTAATGAATCCTTTTTCAAAGTTCAAAGTTAGAGAGACACGTATTTTCCCAAAAACATCACTTGTATGTTTTATTTTAGCAGTAACATTAACTATTTCTCTGCATTATATAACCCATTCACCTTATTACCTTTGGTGGCCCATTGCAACTGAAAAAAACTGCTATTTGATAAGCTATGGTTAACAATGTATGTATGAATGTAACATCTTACAGTATATATCTATGCCTTGCTTAACATTATGATTCAAATGTTACAATAATATACTGTGTTTTTGTGTGTCTCCAGTCCAGAAACAGTCTCCAGGTGGGGGATATTGACGGGGCCAGGAGGCTGGGTCGACTGGCTCGTCTGCTCAGTATTGTCTCCATCGTCCTGGGCATTGTCATAATCATAGTCTACGTCTCAGTTTCAGGTACAGAAACAAAGACAAATAGGACACATTGTAGAATACAATGACGTGCATCGAAAAATAAATGTGTTAAACCTGCCTGCCTTATACCACAGCTGTTTTTAATGTTTGTGATAAAGACTCATTATTTATTTGTGCATGAAGTAAATTATATGTTTATAGTAGAGCTTATTTTAAGTCTGCAAAGGGAGGAATATTTGGACATAATGTATAGTGTGTGTCCACTCACAAATGCCCACAGGGCTTTTACAACAAGTGTTCATCAACAAAGAATGCCTACTGCATAACGATTACAGGGTGATATATGACACTACCCCACAAGCATGAGATGTGTGTTTTTCAATGTCCAGACTCAGCACATTTCCAAGCCTTGTGTGTGTGTGCGTAGATTGATTTAGCACTGCAGCGAGTGTAGTAGGCTGACTGTGCAGCAAGGGCGGCTACGCTGCTGCTCAAAGCCTACAACACTTGAGCTACACCAGTCAAAATAATGAAGCTGTCTTTGTGTCTGACCTGACTTTATCTGACAATGCCACGCTTCTCCTCTTCTTTCTTTTACAGTCGTAAAGCACTGACATGGAGGACCCGAGAGAAGAAAATGAACCGTGAAAGCCAAACCACGGGCGCAACGAGGAAAAAAAATAAAAGCCCATTCCAAAAAAACAAAAATTCTTAACTTAATGTCATATGGTAATTACATCATCACCACCCTCAGAATGCAAAAAATAGGCAACTCATGAGAGTAGAAGCAAGTAAACAAACGAAAAAATAGATTCAGAGATGCATGCATTAGAATCCAGTAACATTTGCTTGACAAAAATAAAACCTGATGTAGAATTGTTCAGGTTAAAACAGAGGAAAAAGAAAATGCAGATTTGTATGTGGACAGAGGGACTCAAATGTTTCTTTTTGGAATAATGGACTTCTTAATATGAAGAGGATGACCTACGTATGAGGAGGGAGTGAACAATTGACGTTTTCGTGTCTGGGATGGGACTCCTTTGAAAAATGGATTCTGGGTTTTGGACTTCAAACTTTGGACAGCTGCATATAATCCTCATATATTCCTTACTGAATCTCTTGCATTCAAAGCATATACAGCTACAAATATATTTGAAATATGGATATATGAATATATATAGATGTACATTTTATAAAAAATGTTTGTATGCCAAGTGGTGCTGGGTTTGTTAAGACTGTCACAATGGCTTTGTCAGCACTTGGATTATCACCGGAAATTCAAGGGTTTGTGAAAAGGGGCAGGGAACACATTTTTAATTTTTGTTATTTATTATAATTTATGTTAAACTAAAAAGAAATTGAGACCAACTGCATGCCTGAATGTATATAACCAAACGTCTGCCTTCATTTTGACTGTTATTAGTTGTCTCTTTTCATATAAAGGAGTCAGAGAGGCTAAGAGGTTTGCACATGGAAGAGTGATTTGTGTACATTATGTGAGTCCAGCCACTGTATGTGTGTATTGTGTGAGGACTGTGATCTAACACCCCCCTTTATGTCCCCAAAATACCTTTGCCTTGCTCTGGCAGAGACTGAAACGCATGCCAAATCTCCAACCATCCTTCGGTCCCTTCTTTTCTTTCACATACTCTAATTCTTTACCACAAAACCTGACTTAGTGGCTGCCGTCCTTCAGTTTTGTCTCTTCCTTAAACTCCATTTTACATACTACCTTCTAATACCTTTCTACACCGTAGCTCCCCATTTTCCATTACCATTCTTACACTGTTATACGTTGACTGTTAAATTTCATTGTTTCACTGAATGTTTTTTCTGCTCCTTGTGCTGGTATGAAATGTATTTATATGGGAAAATATATATATGCAATATGTACGCATGCTATGGGCCAAACAGGCTTACACAAATTTATTTTTTGTAAACGAACAGGCCTTCAAATTTGAGTAAAATTAAATATCATTTAAATAATACTTCTTTTTAATCCGTCACTTTATCAGAGAGAAGTCACTCTATTAAATCCCCTGTGGCTATGCAGGACTGTTGTATTGACACATTACAGGCTTATGCTACAAGCACAGCTAACATCACTGTAAGATCATGTAGCATTATTTACATCCACGGCTTTTCTTTAGGCATTTATGTTTTTGTTTTTTTTATCTTGTGCAATTTAAATCAGGAATCATTTGGACAAAGTCTCTTTAAAGTGATATAAAGCGATTAGTTGAGTTCCAGTGGTTGTTTGTTCAAGGGCTCATACAAGTGAAACAGGAAAAACACACCAGCTAATTACAACCGATGACAGAGGACATTTATCAGACTATGCAGCTATAAAGCGATTCTTCCACGTCCTAAACTAAACATCATCAATGTAAGGCTGAACAACTGCAATCATATCAAGTATAAACACCATGTGGCACAATGTTTTGTGCAAAATGGGTTTTTAATCGATTTCACTCCAGTTGTACATAAAAATCACAATGATTATCAGAACACCGGAAACAGCAAAATCCAAAGAGTCCCCATGTTTACTACCATGCTAATGTAAAAAAAATATTTACATTACATTGTTGCCAAAACGGCAATGTGTGTAATTTCTGTAGAAAATTAAGTTTCCATCTCTGAAACTGGTGTCTAGCCTATAAGCTCTGCTCTGTCAGTAAAACAGTTCAAAACTTTTTCAGTATACTGTATGTTCCAGTTTTCATCTTTGTGGTGTACATTTAGCATGTCTGGAATAAATGTTACCATGCATGGTCCAAGTTTTGCCTTTTATGTGGGGTTTGTGTGTTGACAGCCATGTATCCGAGAGGCTCTACTGAGATAGATGCTAACATGCTCACAATGACAATGCTAACATGTTGATGTAAAGCAGCTGTATGTTTACCGTCTTCAACATCTTACTTTAGCATGTAAGCGTGCTAACAGAGTACAGCTGAGGCTGATGGTGAATGTATTTGATCATTAACCAAAATATAAACTTTTTACCTGAAAATGAGAAGATCAAGTCATGTAAAATTCATACTGATAGGAACATGAATAATATAAGGGTCAAATTTGATTGCAATCTATATTTCATTAAAGAACAAAAATGTCAACCTTAAGGTGGCGCTAGAGGGAAACACCAAAGTCGGTAGACTTTATCTTCTGGGGATGACGAATGCGTAGAAAATTTAATACCCACCCATCCAATAGCTGGTGAGATATTTCGGGCTGAACCAAAATTGTGGCCCAGCTGACTGACTTTGCCACCAGTGGGTAAGAAGTTGTGCAAGATATTAAGTGTACTTTTTGAACAGTTGTAAAACAAAAACAAACAAAAAATCAGTGTCATCAATGATGTAAAGGACCAAAAAAGAAGTCATCATTTCTCACACTTACCTCTCACACATGAGGAGATTGGACACAATAAGAGCTACACCCGTGGTTACAGAATAAAAGACCACATTTGTGTAGGTAGTATTTATGCATACTGTTCAGCTTTTATTGAGACTGAATCAGAGGGATTGATTTTACTCTACATTAAGGCTGCCATCTGCAGTGCTGCTGTATTGGAGTGCACTATATTGGACAGCTGTTGCTCGTATAATATTTAAAACCCTGTACATACAGGAGCACACAAACACCATTTATCATGGCTGCCACATCTATGCCTTATAGTTCTGGAAGAAAATGGAACATGAAGAATTCATAACAGATTTTGCACTTTTAAAGCTCCCCACACCTACACACTGCAGAGTAGTGTCCTATAATGCAACCCTTTCTCCTGGGCTTTTCTATGTCTTATATACAAATATTCTGCTCTTTAATTAACCAAAAATGTTTTGATTGTTTTGCTAAAAGCTAGGATAATGCCTATCTTTACACTCAAAAAGCCTTTTATCTCATCAATAAACATTTGCAGAGAAAAGCGATTGAGGCCCGAAAGTCATCAGACGAGCGAAGCATCCCCGACGTTCACGAAACAATGCTCAAAATAGCCATGATTTCTTCACAGACACAGAGGACCAGACTTGTGTCGTACATTTCAGCTGCTGTGAATACACAGACTTTGTGCTCGTCAGAAGTCAGTGTAGCAGGACCCGTCAAAGTGAGAGGATCTGGTGCTTTCTGCTTGGGTGGCGTTCAGTTTGAGTAGCTGAAATATTCAGGAGTTTAACACAGGGTTAGGGTTAGGGTCTGAAGTCTACTTGATGGCATGTGCATGTTTGAACCAAAAGTAGACTTCAGCACAGGATTTCCTTTTACTAAATGAAGTAAGATATTGAAGGGAAGATGTAAATGCATGTCTGGGTGCTGTAAAAAAAATAAAAAAATACCAGAAGACATAAGGACATTTTATAGAAACTGCAGTCTGATCAGTCTTCAATACTGTCTTTCTTTGTGAGGACAGCATCAAACAGAGGGAATGAGGACAAGAAACCAAATTTATCCTCTTCAGCCCATTGAAGTGAGCCTATTTTATTTGGATTCCAGTCGAGTAACAGCCTGAAACTGTGAGACAAAAACACATTGATGTTTCTCACACAGCTGCCTTGCTTTCACCTTTTCCCCCCCGGCCAACTTGACTTTAATAAAACAAGTCAAACCTAGTCTGCAAGCATTCCCATCTCAGATGTATGCTTCACTTCCCACCTTTAAATGCACATGTCACTTCCAGGTGGATTTAAATCAAATAGGGGGGTTATGCTGGGCTCTGCCAGGTATACTATACTAACAACAGGTGCAAAATGGTTTGAATCATTCAATAGAAATTTAGAAGTAGTGCACTGAAGGCAACAGAGGAGGCTGGTTTGCTGTTGAAGACATTTCACAACTTTATCCAAGATGCTTATTTCACATGAACCTGATAACTCTGTCATTATGTGACAATCTGCCAGTCAGGGTGGGCCGCAGTAGAGTAGCTCCCTTACAGCTGGTGCCCCATGTACCAAGGCTGAGTCCTTGTTGAAGCAGCCATAGGTTTAAAGGCAAAAGCTAATAATAAGCAAATAATATAACAATCTGCCAATCATTAGAACTGATGAAGCCTCTTGTATGTGACCAAATCAGAAGAAACTGTGTGCAGTGCAGCTGCCTTTTACGGTATACTTTCAGACATTCTTTAACCTATGATTTAAAATAGATAATAGATGTGCTGGTAGTTAGTCGTTCTTGTGAGAGCCAAACACACATTTGATAGCTGACTTTATTTTGTGCATTTCACTTATCTGACTTAAAGAATAGAGAGTAAATCAGTTATTGGAAATGCAGATATGACTGTAATAGGACTGCACTTAATTATCACTAAATAATCCATTTGGCTGATTATTTTTGTTAATTCATCAGTTGAGCCCATTTGTAACATATCCAAACTGTGTCTAACAAGCAGCTGAAATGCCAAATATTGAATATTGATTTGAATATTGAAGGCAGCTCATTTTGTTATATGAGAAGCTATTTGGACTAACTACTTTTCGATCAGTTATCAAAATGGTTGCCAATTCACTTTCCGATGATTTATCACATTGATTGATTTAGCTCAAAATATAAAGCCAGTGAGAGCAGGATATCTTGGTGGCTGAGGAGGTTAAGGTGCTGACCAGAAACCATGTTTGAATCTTGCTAAGGATTCTCTCTCTCTCTCTCTCTCTCATCCAGTCAACTCTTTAAAAGAGGAATGTAATGCAAATGCATAAAAAAAAAACTAACATAATTTTTTGAGATATGGAAATGTAGTAAAAATACTATACATTTTTATAAGCCTTGCTGTGGCATCCTGGTGGTTTAAACTGCTCAGAAATGAGAAGGCCCAATACACTTTCCAACAGAGCTCAAATCATATAATTTAAAAAATAAAATGCTTTAGATGTTCAGTATGTAGTAGTGTCAGACACTAGTTTGCACATACTGATATGAATAATTTATTAATTCACATTTTACAGCCCACAATGAACTATCCATCTTACTCCATCAATTAAAAAAAGGACCCTTCAACTAAAAATCCTTCCACCTGTGAAAAAAAGTATACATCACACATTCTCACAGTCTCTTCAAACTTCCTTCAGTCTCTCTCCGAGCAAGTTATTAATATAATTGTTTAAAATCTTGTCTTATTTGTTGGCAGAAGAGCAACCAACCACTAGCCCTCCATGTGTCCCACAGCTCAATACAAGTTCAGTAGTTCATGTTGGCCGAAATTTTGTTTCCATCCAAGAACTGGACCAACTGAATGTCCTTCAGCTCAGGAAGCCTCCAGGGTCCTCCAATCACTGAGCTTGGTCTCCTGGGGTTCCCACGCTATAAAAGAGCAGATCACTCCTGCTCCTGTGAAGATTTCACCAGCCCGGTGCTTTCAGTGAAAAGCGTAGAGCAGGAGGAGAATGGTGCAGACGCCAATCACTGTGCCGAGGATGAGAGAGTCCCGTCTCTTCCGCAAGTTGATTCGCTGGATGAGATTGTTGATGGTTGGGAAACGGTCTTGGAAAGTCAAAAGTTAAAGGAAGATCACAAATATTCAATATTCACAAATGTTTCAGTTTAGAAAAACAGCTCCATTTATATCAGTTTTTTAGGATATTAATCCACTGTACAAAAGCCAACTGTCTAAAAATAACATTGGATATCAGGCATGGATCAAACTATTTCACTGTCGATGCAATGCAAAAACCAAGTGTGAAAATGTGTGAAGATATCAGGAACACTCACAAACAGAAGGATTCTGACTTCCGGCTTAAAAAGCAATTACTAATAAGACAACTGTTTATTAATAATAACTTGAATGAGGTTGGTCTGGAGACTTTAACGTTAACGTTAAAATTATAAAGAAAGGAATACCTTTCCATCATAGAAAAGCAATATGTCAGCGTCGAATTCTGAAGGACGTGTGATTTCATAACAGGAAACCTTCATCTTCTAATCTATTGTGTGCTTTCCTCTACTTGTAGCACATAAGCAGCATAAAGGATACTGGCCAGCGTGTTGACCCTGCTCTGTATGGATTTCAGTATGCCCCTTTGGGAGGTCATGTTCTCCTTGGTCGCCATGGCAATACTAAAGAGACAGAAAGAGAAATGAGTTGAGAAGTGACAATATCCTACATGAGGGTGCTGTCATTAGTAGTGTAAAGTGCCAGTGAGTTCGCACATGATTAGAAATTAAGCAAGGTACAGTAAACCAGTAGTCTACCAATCTTCATATCCTGTGAAACTATTAAATAGACAACATGTCTGTAGGCACGTCCACGCGACAAGCAAGGGAATCATTCTGGGTACCTAAAGTACGTGAGTGTGAGTCGCCTAGGCTTGCAGAAGGAAGGTATAAAGTTGCTGTGATATTGTACCCCTCTTGCTCTCAAACTTGGGCCTCAGCAACTTACAGCAACAGCAAAGTGCAGCTGGGCAGTTGGCAGAAAAAGTTTCAGGCTCTATGTTTGCCTTCTGTGGCATCCGTTACACACAATAATCAATAGCAGCTACTGATCCCACTTTTGAGCCCTTTACAGTTGAGACCATTTGGGTAAAAGAAGTCCACTCGACAAAGTAAAACATTGACTTAACTGTAGTGTTAATAAGCTTGCAAATAAACTGCAAGTAGCATGATGTAATGCTTAAACAGCATGGTGACAACCAGTAAGCACCGGCCACAGGGGACAAACTCCACCCTTCCCAGAGTGACAGCGCCCCACAGGAGCCAGGTCAAAACAGGGTAAATGAAATCAACAAGGTTGTTTATTCTTTTGGCGAGTGAAATTGATGAGCAGCAGGCTTAGAGAATGTGTGTGTGTGAGCTTGAACGCAGGTAGAGACAGAATTTGTCGCGTGTGAGTATGAGTATGTGGACACCCTCCACACGGGTGCGAGGGTGAGGTCATGGCATCTCCTGACAGTCCGCAGTCTTGGCCTGGAGCAGTGTTTTGGGGATCATGTTCCCCTCAGTCAGGAAGAAACACTTTGCTGACTCCAGCAACCTCCCCAAGCCTTTATCTCATTATTAACCAGCTCATGAGAATCAGAACTGGAGGAGAAAGACTGCCTTCACACACACAGTGTGTGATCAGTCAGTGGTCACTGTTTGAAAGTGACCTGGGCAGTGGTCTCAAGCTGGTCTCAAGTCCCCTGTCAAAGTCAATTTAATCAGAAACCTGATGCATAGGGGCTTTACAATCTGTTCAACGACACCCTCTATCCCAAGACTGAAGGCCCATTCGGATAAGAAAAATGCCACAAGAAATAACCTTTAACTAAAGTATCAAATCCAAAGAAATGCTTTTTGCGACAAATGGATTAGACCATTTTATTTATTATTTAGCTATGATTTGAGATGTGGTCTAGTCACACTGACACAGTTAAAATACAGTATACACAAAAGTGGCATGTTAACCAGCACAGAACTGAACTCCTTTGACCATCACGACTCTCAGCTTCACAATATGTAAATAAAAAAATAGTAATATTTTAACTTATATTATGATTGCAATATGATTCACAATAAGTGTGAATGATATTTTTTGCAACACAATTTTAATTTTTGCTAAAAAAATTGACAGTTGTTGGGGTTTATACAAAACAAACATGTTTTCTTACATCTTGAGCACAAGATTTGCAGACCAGGTCGTCTATGCAGCACTACAGTACTTCATTAAAATGCTATTTTGTCACACGTGCTGGCAAAAGCTCATAAAAGAGTTGTGGAAAATAAGCTGAGATTGGGCGAAAATGTCCAATTAAAGGAAGGAAAGGAAGGAAACAAAAGGGGAGAAACACAGCATCGCCATTTCAGAGACAAAATCTACCAATCAGACCGCTATTCTAGCCAATCCCACGGGTAGTCAAGATATGCAAGGACTGAAAACAGAAAAGGCAATGGGAAAGGACCAAGGGAGGAAGATGGAAGAAAAACAGACTGAAGGGAGGGAGGGTAAATCCTATGAAACATATTTGTCATTGAGAAAGGAGGAAGGAGCGGTGAGGGATGAAAGAACTGGGAGGAGTTAGTCACAGTCCCGTTTATTCTCAGACTATTTTATGTGACCAGGAGTTGACCTGTGACCAGTACAAACAATAAGCAATGACATTGAAAATTCATTGATAAAAAAGGAAAGGTTCAACAATACACATACAAGCTCTGGGCAAGAAGTCAACCGTAACTCCTAAGACACATTACAGTAAGAAACAACCATTGAGATAGTGGTTACTGAATCAGGAGGCACAATAAACAAGGACAATATTTCTGCAGGTTGGTCCAAGATCAACATGACCTGTTAGGCTTGACATATCCAGGCCATGTTAAGGTCTACTGAGGGTTTTGAGTCAGGCTAAGCTGGTAGATAAGACAACAGGGAAGGGGGGTGGGAGCCGTCACATATACAAATATATGTGTTTCCATATGTGCAACACAGAAAGCAGGTCTTACCTTATTGTGTCATCCATCAGACGGTCAGAACTATAAACAAGGAGTGGGAGAGGGGGGGCGGGGAGAGAAAGAAAAAAGAGTGGTTAGTTATTGACATGAGGCAGTGTAGCAAAAACATGGAATGGTAAATGACGAGGGGGGTAGTCATTCGTATCAGTTTCAGATTGGTTGTGTTCAATACTGAACTCTAATTACGTTACTTGGTGACACTGAGCTGGACAAAGAACTGAATTAAAATTTCATATCAATCTTATTAACTCCCACATTGTCACTATCTAACCAGTCTGGCAGAACACAGCATAACGTCATTTGAATTTCCCCACCAACATCAATGTGGTCTCATCTCTGTGTCTATGTTGTCAACAGCCGAAAGTAATATATGGCATCGGTCACACAAAACACTAGATATATATACACCCCAAATCTGTAGTTTCAATTGCTAACAAATAACTGTAAGCTATTGTTAATTTGTATTTCTGTATAACCTCTGCATAGAATAGTAGTTAGTTTATTTTCTCCTCGTGGATGAGTCCCACAATGACCAAGTAATACTGGACTAAGTAGACCCTGAGGGAACTCCACTTGAGAGATCCTGAAGCTTAATATTCTGCATAGTTACATTAAAAGAGGGAGTGTCAAATGCTGACTTTTGTTCTGCAGAACGAACACACACACACACACACACACACACCTCTTGTGCTGCAACACCAGTTTTGTGTCTCAGGTTGCTCATAAACAACAATGCTCTCAGCAGTTTATTCCCTAATTGGAATCAATTTGGATAATGTTCCAGAGAACTAAAGGAAACCAAACAAGCAAAACTGCAAGGATTGTATTTCATAGCCCAACATCCATTCAACAAATCCACATCCTCATTGTCATGCTCAATATGTGGTTTCTGTTAAGCTCTTAGCATGCTTACATAGCCAGACAAAGTTACAGGAAGAGAGGGAAGGTCTCTCAAAGATTCCTGCCAAAACCTTATCCACACCAGACCGCAATCATCTCCAACATTCACCTAAATCTTTTCTCTAGACCTTAAAAAGGACCAGTATGCAGCACTGTGCTCAGTGGCATCGAGCAATGAAGATGCAGACCGCAACTAAACTAAATAACAGTTCGACCCTATGTCAAGCCATCCTTTGGTTTGTTCATTCTGGGCTGTTGTAGAAACATGGCGGTTCAACATGGCGGCCTCTGTAGATAAGGACGTCTTATTTTAAAGTTGACAAAGACACAACAATTATACACTTATTAAAATATAGATAGGAATTTTATATTCAATTCATGCCAATAGATCCTCCTAAATGTTACCGACTGGACTTTAACTTGACCATCTCAATGCTAATACTATTTGTAATCTCATGCCTGAAGCCAACCAACCCCAACCCACAGTGCTCATGCCCATAAACATGATCCATAATGCTCTGGCAGCTTCTGATGCAGCCATATCTTTGACTCCATCGACTCCTTTTTACCTTGGCCTTGAGAGAGTGCCATGTCACTTTTAATCACATTATTTAATGTGAAAGTATTATTTTTATTATTATTTATCACATGGTAAACTTAAAGAGAAAGTTGGATGAGCATAAATATCTCCTTACATTCAATTCTCTCTCTGCACTGCAGTTTTCTTTTTAAGTTAGGGGGAAATATACCATGAAGCTCTGCATGTGCACATACACACATGCATTGTTGGCAAGTATGTGTGCTGAGCTAACAGTTTTTTTCAGCTAACAGATGCTAGGTAGCCCTCAAAGGAGTTTCAAAGATCCAATTTTTCAAAAATGATGAATATGAGGAAGACTTAATAATCTCATAAGAAAAACAAGTCGATTGTTACAGAAGAAGCACTACAGGGCTCAAAAAAGCAACTCAAGCTTTGATTCAGGCAGAAAAAAAATTATAATATAACTACATAACCAAGTAATACCATGAAGAGGTTCTAATTAAATTCGATTATGGGCCACACAAGTGACTTTCACCGGGTCACTTATACTGTCAATTATTGACCAACTGATTTCTCAATGGGGAGACCATTTTCTGGGTAACATATTAACATAATCACTTTGAGACTGGTCCTGCAAATAACCCGTAATTCTAGGGACTGACCTCAATCAGTAAATGGGGATTAGATTAATTGCTGTAATCCCAATATTTACCTCATCTCAACCTTATTAGTCTCTCCATCTGCAGTTGCATCTCATTAAGCTCTACATTTAACATAGTTCCCGAAGTGGTTACGGGACAGGTCGGAGGGACTGCCATGAACAACGGATGCTAATAAATGTCAGTGGAAGGGAGTCAAAAAGAGAATCCCATGAGACTGGACACTGAAAGGAAAACCGTCACGATTTGGGCTGGGCCGCCTTCTGGTTTTGGATCATAGTGCTGCATATGAGCACCAAACTCCTATTTGGCAGTAGTTTGAAATATATCATTTCCATCGTCTTTATCAGGCTGAAATGGAATAATTTACAGGAATGAAATCACTGGATGAAAAGGGATTGTAACAGTCTGGCACATAATTCAGAATGAAGGCTAGCAGGCACAAATGGATTGTAGGAGCATCATGCACAGTGGAGTAGGATGTGTAGGCTTAAAGAGAAAAACCAGGCCAGCAATGACACCTAACCCTTCTTCTGTCCTACAAAATCCTACAAACATCTTATCTGATTAACTTCAGCTACGTGTTGTGAGGTGACGGCCACACAGCCACAAGACACTGGTCTTAAATGATGGAAGAAAAAAAACATCATGGTGGACAGACGAACGACTGACAGATAAAACTAAACCTTTAACTGCGACAGTGTTCACATTATAAATCATGAGCTGAAGAGCAAAAGAGAGAGTGCCTGTGAGCTGAGGTGAGCCATGATTCATGGAGTTTTATATGCATAGATGAGATGGGGAAAAAGATTTATGTTTTGTTCCCTCCGTCATCAAGCCGCAGCTGTAGTGGTGAGGTTGATTGTCCCATCACGTTTATGTATATATGGCCTTCTGTGGTTTCAGCTTTGAGTGGGTTCCTTCCGTTTCCCTCGGTCAGTGGTGTTTTGCTGCAGTCATTAAATCGCTCATTAGCTCCAAGCTAATTGCCTTTCCCAGTGTAATGAATCAACCCACCCTGCCCACATGCTTCCTTGCCCTCTCTTGCCAACACATGAACGTAGAAAAAGACAAGACTGCTTACGGCTCACATGCATGTCATTTTTTTGGCTTGGGTTTTTTTGCATGAAGAACTACCCGAAGAAATGATGTCTGCATTGGCAGTCACTCAAAGCCTAAATGACTTAAAAGATTTGAATTGAAATGATAACAGAATTCTTTTCTGTTGACTCGTCAATTATTTGAAGTGGTATTCTGAAAGAAAACACTTTACAGCAACCTTCTGAGAGTAATGCTCTGTCAGGTTGGCTTTTAGAGCAATATGAGGCAACTAATAGAATCAGCCAGGTAAACTGAAACATTAATTACTTTGCCTAGAAAACGGACTTGCAAATCTTGGCAACAGTTACAGAAAGCAAACTGCATCAGCAAAGAGGAATGGTCACAAATCAAAGCTCAGAGCTGATTCAAAAATCCACTGCTACACATTCAACACACATTACACACACACTGTGAGATTCTAAGAGATGATCTTTACAGTAACGCTGCCATTAACCTTCATGGCTAATTAATATATACAAAAACCCAAGCATAAGAAAGTGCTAGACTCTAGAGGTGCAAGAAAGGCAAATGGTGGCAAAAACTGGGACTTAAACGTTGGGAATCTGTAACAACTAAGGACTAAGGATCTACTAAATATTCCTCCATTCTTTTGCTGACAGTCCTGCTGGTGGGGCTGGCCCTACACATTGCAACTGGGCAGCAGAGAAAAAGCTGTGGTGATGTAAAGCATCTGGCTGCTCAGAGATGAACATCAGTTAAATGGGAAGTCCTTGGGCAAGTAAGTAGCAAAACACTTGACTGGAATCAATTAGGAAAATGGTGCCTTCTTTCACAACAAAGTGGCAATAAATGGTACACAATCTTAATCTTGATAATGTCTTTACAGGAAAATGCACTTGCAACAAATCATAATTGACTGATAAATATGAGCTTGTCAGTGAGGTGCTGAGGTCCATCTTCTAGCAGCTTATCTTGTTATTCAAAGAGAGCAAAACACAGAAATGAACTGACCCAAAATGTGTCAGACACTTTCACATTCATGTTGGGTAAACCTCTAACTGAAACTTTCTGAATTGAATTTGAACTGTTTAGATCCCTTTGGTGAGCCAGAGCAAGCAGGGCGGTACCTTATCCTGAAACCTCAGAGCTCCTCTGCTGATTACATTAGCATATCAGGGAACTGGCAGCTCAGATCGAACTTCTTAAAGTGGGCAACAAGCCAGGGAGAATGCAAGCAGGGGTCCCAAACTTGGGGAAAAGAAGAGAGAGAGAAAGAAAGAAAACAATGTAGTAACTTTGAGAAAGAGGCTGCAGCAGGTGGGCACTGTGGCAAGTAAATAATTAGTTCAAAATGTTTCAGGTAAAACTTTGATGATGAAGGATCCAACAATATACCTATACTTTCAGATTTTTGCCAATTGTGTTTTTCATCACCAACATCGCTTTTTACAATATATAACATGTTGCAAATGAAAGGAGAAATTGAGGCTACCCAGAAGTGGGTAGGGTTATACTGACCCCATAATTTTCTTCTGTTAATATAAGGCCATTTGAGCTTTTCAATTATTTGGATGGGGAATAAACTGATCTGGTTTAATCATAACTACTGACTGAACAAGATGTTTTGTGCCTAAACCTTAAATTTGTGAACTGTTAAATGGTTGAATCTCAGCTTATAAACTGTTGAAATGTTACAAACACACCACGAAGTATCCAAAAGAAAGTGGAACTAAAACAGGATGGCTATGACAAAAAACAAGATAGTTTTTTACATCATCTCATTCTAAAAAGGTAACAAAACGTAACCATCCCTCTACTCAGGTGATTATAATGAAAACATACTTATGAATATTATATTCATTTCTGCCAATAGATCCTCCTAACACACCTTTACGGACCTTTATGGTTTTTAAAACTTTTAGATGCTGCATGACTGCATACAAAGTCATTCTGAAACACCTAAACTTGCAAGCAAATATAACTCCATAATATCCAGTCCAAACACCCCAACACAATTTAGACCCAGAGGCTCATCAACCCAAGACAACTGGGGAATTATGCACATTGCTAGATAGAGCTTTCAACAACTGGTTTAGCATGAATTTGGCAGGCTCAGATGTCCTCAGACAGTGTACAGTGCCAGGAAGTGATCCAGCATTGGAACCAGAGGATTGTTGAGTCTACTGCATGCAATTCCAAAGGAATTGTGTTAGTTAATGAGAATAGACACAGATTTGCTGTAGGCAGCGTGGACTGATTCTCTAATACCAGAGCTGGAAGAATCCACTTTATGAAAGTAAAGAGGCAAGAGATAAAAGAAACAAATGTGCGTCAATGTAAGGTGTAAATTTGCTTTGCTTCACACTGCTGTGGTAAAAAAAAACAACAATTCTGTTTGACAGGAAGTCCTTATCGGAATGACCACTGCCATTAGAGCTGGTCCAACATGAACTTTTAATGGACCTGCCCCTCCCTCCCTCTAGATTATTCATGAATACTGACCTCTATGGCACAGAGAAATGGAAAAACAGATATACAAAGAAGGAGAAAGAGAATTAGTGTAAGTGTAAGTATTAGAGGTGTTTGCAGACAGCAAATAGAAATGATGTGTTTTCAATCAGCTCCCAGCTATCTCAGATCCTACCAACCTGTACACCACAGGCTGCTGCTATCCACCTAGTATTGTCTCATGTAATATGTAGGCAAGTCTGACTGATGTGGAACTAAACAAGATTCATCACTACCAACAAGAACTAGAGAGGAGGCTATCCTCTAAATTAATGTCTGTCTCATTGGGTTCTGATAAGAATAAATGCAGGCTGGCATGTACTCCGCCCACAGGAGTCATTTGTAGATTAACTGGAAGGGACTATACCATTGGAAAGTGATTAGTCTTAGCTGGTCAGTTTGGCAATGCTGGAACCATCACATGCCAATATATTATAGACTCAAACACACACAGAGTCACAATAAAATGCCTCCTACACTGCTTTTGCAAATTTATACCAATACCAAAATGACAACCCCACAGACTCTCTTTAACATGGTGTGCATATTAAATATTAAATAAGATCCAAACAGATTATGTAAACTTGCATAAGGGAAACTTCATCATTCATAAAATAGTCGTTTGAAAAGAGAGCATCAAAGACTGTGTCTGGAAGAGCTTTTTAACTGATATCTCTCCTCTTTATCGAGTTATCTGTGCTCTGCCCTCAGTAAGACTTAGACCCCTGCGCTTGCCGCTAACACATTTTAGTCCTTTTCTCTTAAGGCCCTCTTTCCTGTTTTATGGCTCTAATAGGATCAATCAAGCGTAACTCGATCCTCATCTCCAATCTCCTCTTTCCCCTCCCATCTTTGCCAATGGTCTGGGGAAGCCCTATAATATGGGTTGTGGTTTAATAAGATTATTTCATTATCAATATTGTGATCAGTTGTGCTGGATTGGCACAAGAGCTTGCCTGCTGGGAATGCAAGTGGCTACAGCAAGTGGGAGGAGGTTCAGCACAATGCATCACTGGACAACCCTGTTCTCATTTCACATTTCTGAGCTTATTTTATCTTCAGTATTCAGTTGGGTTATTTGGAGACCCATTTGAATAAATGAGGAAAGAGAGGGTCTTATCTTAGAATTTCCTGACACCACATTATCGAGAAAAGAAATACCACAAGGTACACAGCAGATACAAGTAACCATATGACTGATTTTTCAGGGCCACTCCCTTAATGACAGGACAGAATAATGTTTCTCTCGCTCTGCTTCACTGCATGAATCCATTAAAGCGTTCACTTGGGTCTTTCCCAGTAGTGTCATAGAGACACAATGCAACTTGACACAATGTTGGAGAATCTATGCGACTACACTGACAGAATGCTACTGCAATTAGTAAGATTGCAAGATTTGATACAATTCACAATACAGGGTACATAATAAGATTTTCTCACTTTTTTTTAACTAAATCTTTTTCATCTCACCAATTTGAATCTTCACATATTTTATTGTGTCTTGCAATATAGGGTTAGATTCCTAGTGTTCACCGAATCCCTCAATATGAATCCCATGTAATACCTCTTGGATTAACATAGCTTGCATCAACTCATCAGTTTTATCACCATTCGCTACAGATCTCGTGTTACATTACTGTCACAAAGCATGGCAGCTGTTACAGAAACAAGGCCAAACGTTGACTGAAGTGGTACTTTACAGGGTGTTTCTAAGTCACACTTCATTTAGCTGATAATGTTGATGCAAATGAATAATTTAAGCCATAAGCCAGCCATAAAATTAAAAATCTAAACACAAGAGTCCTGAAAAAGTCCTGAAAATTGTCACTGCTAAACCATAAAAAGTAATACTGTCTCTAAATGTGCTAACATTTTATAACAACACACACCTCTGGGTATATCCACACATGCACATACATATGTATAAGCCTATTGGGAAACTGTATTAATTGTGGAAGACTAAACATTAGCATGTCAGAGCAGGTAATGTCTGTTCTGAAATGAATGAAGAGGTC